CTACTAGTCCGCACACATCCAAAACAGCTCCAAGTCTGCTTTGGCTCAGCAGTGGACTTGGAGTTGTTTTGGATGTATGCGGACTAATTTAGGATTCAGGCGGACTAGTTTTGGATTACTTTAGGGGATAAAATAAACTTTGGATGCATTTTGGGGCAAAATTGGACTACTTATTGCTCACTGGGATTCATGAATCTAGCAATCAATGCATTGCTAGAAATGAAGCTGTGTTGGAACTTCTTTGGGTTGCAAGGATTTCAATCAAGATTAATCCAAAGCAATCATTAATCAAAATGTGGCTAGAAGTGGTCATATGCGAAAACAAAATTTCCCAAATTGCTAAATATATTTGGTTACGTGAACAAATGATCAACAGTATATGCATACATTGTAGAAGAATGAGTTTCTGTATTTTATTTTTGTTCCCCAACGCAGGCTAATCTCACAACACAAAGTTATGTCTGCAGGTTTCAAGCTACTCCTTTTACGAAGCATGATTTTGCAACGCAATGCCAAATTCAGATTTTTTTTTTCAAAAATCCAGGTCTTTTTATTATATTTCCATGGGTCTTTGGAAATCTGGAATTCTGTTTTGAATTCGATTCAGACACGGCGGTGTTCAGATTTTTTTGAAGCTCTTCCCAGTTGATGCCAGAAATTTAGTCGCGTCTCTGGAAAAAGGTGATGAGAAACCCGTGGAAAGTAGTCGAATACAAAATGCCTTTGTTGACTTTTGTCAAACCTCGGCCAACGAGGTGAAACAGCCCCATTTGGATTCCTGCAATAAGTATAGAGCAAAACTCAAAATGATTGAATATTCGCAATTAAAAGAGTTCATGTCACGTTGCCCGGAAAAAAATCGTGTGACAAACATCAGAATAGCTCACCCAGTTTTAACGAAGTTGACCACCCGTGAAATGAAATTTGAACGGACCCTGCTCATCAATGCAGAATCGACTGGTTTCCTTGTAAAATCCAGGATGAAAAGACGGAACAGAGTTGTCACATCCGATCCATGAACCGACCCTATAAATAATTTTACAATAAAAAATTCAACGTATTTCAATTGTCAAGTGAACTCCAGTGATGAAGGTTTTCAAAAGTCTTACCATCGAATTCTGGAGCAATTTGATCCGTTGCTTTGACCCGACTGCCCAAGAATAACTTGAGAAATGAATTGTCGACGGGGACATGTTCGAAAGAATATGCATAAACTGGTGCAAATTTGAGAGCATTTGAGGCAATGTCTGCTGAACAAATGCCGAAGAGCTGATCCCGCAAAAGCTGCAGGAAGTACGACAAAAAATGGCACTTTCTTATAAATGAGAAAAAGGTAAAATTTACGATTGTTCTGATTGATACTTCTCCAATAGATTTTGGAACACACCGAGATGAAGTCGAAGCCTTGATCAAAGCTGATTTGACCATCATCAGGCCCGAAATATTCTGCCCGAATCGCGTCGCAACGTCGTTTTGCATCTTGTGAATCGGCAAAATCTCCGAACAGCAAATAATCAGCGCATTCTTCATCCCACGTCGAATTCAGCTTGTTCAGGTAATTCTTCGTTGCGAGATGCGCTGATGATGAAAAATCGTCTCGTGAAATGGAGAGTGAAATTGAAAAAAAATATATGTATTGCTGTTTTGAAAGAAGAACTTACAAAAGGCTGTAACAACACCGTCATCTCTGGTCACTCCCATCATCAATGGGACTTTGTTCACCAATGGTGTGTCTTTGGTGATTCGCTGAGGGAACATGGGTGTCGAAGTGCCTGAATCGACCGATGGCGTCCAGTAAAATGGCAACAATGGTCCTTTCCTCTGTATTGTTTGAAAAAAAATTGCATGGCATTATTTACTGAATAATTCACGGAAGTCATCGTTTTATTTTTTTTTTTGTTGGTTATTTGAAACAAAACAATTTCTGCGTGACTTTTTCGTGTGCTTAGTTGCTTTTCGAACTTATTTACGTGGAACTTTGAGCCCATCACAAAGCTTTACTCTGAAGGAATTTATTAAAAAGATGATTTTTCTGAGTGAACCCCAGCACTTGCAAAATGCTGGGAATTTTTCCCCAGCACTTCGAGCGCACAACATTTCGAACGAGAAACTATATGATTTCTGTTTTTTCATTAAAGAAAATTGAAGCAATTTTTTCTATTTACCAAAAATCAATTCTGCCGCTCTTTGCAACTGAAATTTACTATTACACGACAACTTGCACAGCAACAACTCACACAGCTGAAACTCACATAGCGACAACTCACACAGTGCGACAACTCACACAGCGACAACTCACATAGTGCGACAACTCACACAGTTCTTTTTTTTTTTTTACTTTTTTTTCTTTTTTTTTTTGTT